TTCATTCTCATAGACTTATATGGGAATGCAAAACTCATCAGGCGTGGACTAAAGCCCATTGCACCAGGTCGTTACCATGTGTTCAGCCATAACCAGCATGTCCCCATGATGGGAATTTACTATTATTAATTATTCCATGACCTTGGTGACTGAAAATCTTCATAGGCACACTCCAGTAGAAGGGACATATATGTACCTGCATTCCAGTTGTGCTTTTAAGTTCATGGCCACAATATGAAATTTCAGTTCCAATAAGCAAATGAGCCAAAATCATTAGTCTTACCCTTTGCTTGTCTTTTATGAATATTTCCGTTTTCTCAGCCATCAGTTTTCTCTCTTCCTCCATCTTTTCCAATATCTTCTTCTCTGTCTCCTCGAGCCAGATTTTCTGAGCATCTTTCATCTCTTTTTTCTTTGTCTCTTCCGATTCTTGCAGTTTTTTTTCCATCTCCTCAATTTTTTTTTTTAGTTTTTTCCTCTGAAAAAAATGTGCAAATAGGAATTAAAATAATGCATAGGATGTTTTATTATAATGCATAATATTTGAACACGTATAAAGTTAGTTTACTTTGGCTCCATGATACAAAACACCAAGGTTTTTTTTTCTCAGAGAATAGGTGCAGAAACTCCCCACTTCTGTGTCACTTCTTGTCTCCGCACTCTACCCCCATCCCACCCCACCCCCGAGCACTGTCCATTGGTTCCACCCTCTACCCACCCCCCAGCATTCCTCCTTTTAGAGAATACAGAGCCAAGTATTATTTTGTTGGTTTTCACAATATTACCAGGTAATGGAGGCTTCCCATAACCCCCAGCTTGTGTTCCCATAGGCAGTGTGAATCAAACCGCCATAAATTGTATGGAATTTTTTACTGAGAGCAAGAAAAGCAGTAAAATAGATTCTATTTTGCTTGCAGCAATAGAACCCCCCCTCCCCCACCACCAACAACAAATAGACCCTCCCAACAAAATAGCACCCCCAGCAGCAACAACAGATCTCCAAACAGCCAACATTAATAGACTCTCCAGCAGCCAGCAACAATAGACCCCTCCTTCAGCAGTCGATCCCTTCAAGCAACAATTGACCCCCAGCAACAATAGATCCCCCATCAGCATCAATAGACTGCCACTAAATAATATATCCCCTCCAGTGACAACAGATCCCCTAGCAGCCAGAATCAATAGATCCTCCAGCACACTCCAGCATTCCTGCCATTAGATACATCTAGTGCTGGAAAAAAGCCCTGCAAAACGCTATTAATATATATATATATATATATTCTCCAACACTTTTGTATTTTTTTTTTTTTAGCATATGGAAGGGTTAAAAACTCATCAGCGGTGACACTGTCTGTGCCTCATTGTGATGATTGCCCTTCACTTTCAATGTAAATGCAATAGTATAAAAATTGAGGGAAATCTACTCTTGGACCATTCTCCCTAAGTCCCCGGTCACACTGATACGACTTTGAAATTGTGCGACTTCCAGTGAAGTCGCACAATTTCAAAGTCTGATGTCATTCCGACTTTAGATGAGACTTGCAAAACATGGATGTCTATGCAAGTCGCACCTGAAGTAGTGCATGCACTACCTTCAAAATCAGTGTGACTCCGACCAAGTCAGAATCACACCGATATGGACTACTTTAATTGCGGACAATAGGGTGCAAATCGCATAGCAAGTCGCACCCGGTATGGCTTGGCACTAAACCAGGTATACCCACTGAAAGACTCTTCTGTTCCAGTGCCAATTCAAAATATTTGATTTTCCTCACTTTCAGGTATGGGGGGCAATGGCAACACACAGAAATGCTGAATATCACCAACAGGGACACAGATGGCAATGAATGAAGAAGCTAAAGTGGAGCTCCACCCAAAAGGGGAAGTTCCACTTTAAGCCTTTGTCCCCCATTCCCTGTTAAGGATTGGCACTTTTGGGGAGGGGGTACCCAAATTTGGCAGGTACCACTCCCACTTCCACTGCGATTTCCTATGCGATTGGAAGCAGAAGTTGTCCTCCTTCCCCGTAGTCTTCTGGGACATGTGACAGGTCCTAAGAGACAACAGGACCATTCACAAGGCACAGCTCTTCTCGCGCATGCGCAGTGGGCACCAAGCTGTCACAGCCAGGAGCCCACAATGAAGATGCCGGTGTTGGGGAGAGAAGACATCTGATGAAACCAGCCATGAAGAGTACAGGTAAGTGTCTGTATTTTAAAACTCAGCAGCTACAGTTTTTGTAGCTGCTGACTTTTATTTTTTTTTTAATTCAACTGGAACTCCGCTTTAACATCAACTTGGTTTAGTCCTGCAGCATCCTCTCCCTCAGACAGGGCTAATCCACAACAATTTCTAAAGGCAATAAGGGGGCACGCTTTACGTCTGGAGGAAAAGAAATGTAATCTCCAAATTCAGAAAGGTTTCTTCACAGTAAGAGCTGTGAGAATGTGGAATAGACTCCCTCAAGAGTTGGTTGTGGCCAGCTCAGTGGATTGCTGTAGGAAAGTCCTGGATTCTTTCTTGGATACACAGAATATAACTGGATATAACATTTATAGGGAAAGTTGATCCAGGGAATATCCGATTGCCTCTCGGGGGATGAGGAAGGAATTGTTTCCCTGCAGGCGCAGATTGGATCGTGCTTTGCTGGTTTTTTTGCCTTCCTCTGGATCAACTGTGGGTGTAGGATTATAACTTTTTTGTTTTTTTTATGGTTGAACTGGATGGACTTTTGTCTTTTTTTTTCAGCCAGACTAACTATGTAACTATGTAATAAAGCAAAGGGGAGCATGAATCTAGTTCATTATTGTGGATAAAGTTTTGAGGATAAAACCTATACACAGGCACTCATAAACATTCTTGGGAATAGTACATAATATATACCGTAAATGAATCATGGTGACAATCTGTGTTTTTCAGTATTCCAGTTTGGGCAGTAAACCAAAAAGCATCTCCGTCTGTTATACTTACCTAAACTCCTGAGATACCACCCTCAAATTTTCTTGGCCACCCAACAATTGCGTGCATAACAGTATCATGATGAAAGCCCAGTGTACTTACATTGTTGCAGAATCCATCTTTCATCTTTTGGCTGGCCTGGGGAGATTGCAACATCATATCTGCCATGGACCTTTCGTGATGATACTGTGATATGCCTGTAAATTGAAGTGCTACACTACTGCTAAGAGGTCCAGATACAACTTTATTCCAGCAAAGGTCAAGGAGACAATCCAAATAGTATGCAGCATATTTCACAGCGTAAATGTTGGTAAGGTCTGTGTTTTTATTCACACTGGAAGGAATACCATTAAAAGTCCAGTTCACATCTACTCCATTCACATTGTGTTCAATCAAGTCCTCATGAAGGGGCATCTTTGGACCCCTGAAATGCATAGCCTACTCTTTGGATTGTCCCCCTGACTTTTATTGAAATAAAGTTGTATTTGGACCTCTTAGCAGTGGTGTGGCGCTCCAATTTACATTTTTGTTATGGTTGAACTTAGAAGATGGAGCCCCAGTGCATGGCACAGGACACAGGCATCTGACACAGAATTGTTGATTTCTGAAGAGTCTTATATAGTCTACAGAGACGGAGGAAAATGAGAGGAAACAGACCAATGTTCCATTACAAAGGACTTGCATTTTGAATATTTTAGAGACTGATGGGGTCTTTTTAAAGTTAGACTAAAGGGAATACTTTGCAGTACATTGGGTAATAAAATAAAATGTGGCAACCTAGACTTGTAAGAAAAAGGAAGATAAAGCTTTGTTCAGACTATCTATAACAGGGGTCTCCAACTTTTCAAACACAGGGACAGTTTGCTGTCCTTCAGACTTTAGGGGGGCTGGACTGTGGCCAGTGGGGGAAGAAAATGTCCCTGACAGAGCATCTGTGAGAATAAACATTACCTTAGGGTTGGCGGTCAGCAGGAGGAGTAATGCCCCATCATTGGTATTAGAGGCAAGAATATTGCCCAACCATTGGTATCAGTGAAAGATATACTGCCCCATTGTTGGTGCCAGTGGGGAAAATACTGTCCTATCATTAATCTTAGAGGGAGGAATAGTGCCCCATCATTCAGGTCAGTGGCAGGAATTATGTCCCACTATTGGTGGAGGAATAGTGCCCCAAGTGCTGAATAAAGGCAAGCAAAGAGCCGCATCTGGTCCCGGGCCATAGTTTGGAGACCCCTGATTTATAACATGTGGATGTTGATAGGAAACAAACAGAAGATGAAATTCTTCAAGCATGAGAACAAGGGGTATTTACAAAAATCTATTGAAGGATGTGGAAGAAAGGACTATGTAAGAACTGATAAAAAAGCCAAATAATGAACAGAGCTGAACACAAAGAGATTACCATATACGTTCAGCTTTACAAACAAAGCACACTATGGGGTCGATTTACTTACTTTCCAAATTGCAGTTGCTCTAGAGCTTAATAAATGAGCAGCTCTGCTTACTTCCATCATCCAATCATGTGCAAGCAAAGTGCTTTTTTTTAAATTTTCCTTGCACGTGATTAGGTATTCCTTGCAAAGTGAATCTTTATCTCATTTACAAAGCTCTGGAGCAATTGCAGTTGCAGTGTAACTGCCCCTTGTATGGTGCACAGTCTATTTGACTTTAGTAAATCAATCCCTATGTTGTCCCATATGGGTATAGCAGCATAGTGTGCTAAACCTACCAAACGGCCAGGGCTCCCTTTCTATTCAAGCAATAACATTTAGAGGAAGCGTCTTGAAATACTCTAAAACTAGTAATGGCTCCTAAGTTATTGTAGGGATGGAGCAGTCTTTGGGACCATTTGAGTCCATTGCCATAGAAGAAAGTGCTGTCCTGTTCTTTTGGGCCAGGAGAAAGAGAGAGGAAACAATGTACCGTATTTTTCACTCCATAAGACGCACTTTTTTCCCCCAAAAAAGGGGGAAATGTCAGTGCATCTTATGGAGCAAATATAGAGAAGCCGGTCCAGTATTTCCACCACCACCGTGTCAGAATAATGGGCCGGCCGCTCCTCTCTTCTGTGTAGCTGGACCTTACCTGTTCCTCGGTCCAGCGCTGCACAGTCTTCCCACGTCGGCATCTGTAGTGTGGGCTCTCGGCTGTGACAGCTGGGTGCCCAATGCGTATGCGCGAGAAGCACACATGACAGGTCCCAGAAGTCTCTGGTCATCTGTACTGTGTCCGCAGTCTCTGGTCATTCCCTGTACTATATCCGCAGTCTCTGGTCATCTCCTGTACTATGTCCGCAGTCTCTGGTCATCCCTGTACTATGTCCGCAGTCTCTGGTCATCCCCTGTACTATGTCCGCAGTCTCTGGTCATCCCCTGTACTATATCCGCAGTCTCTGGTCATCTCCTGTACTGTATCTGCAGTCTCTGGTCATCTCCTGTACTGTGTCCGCAGTCTCTGGTCATCTCCTTTACTGTGTCTGCAGTCTCTGGTCATCTCCTGTACTGTGTCCGCAGTCTCTGGTCATCTCCTGTACTATATCTGCAGTCTCTGGTCATCTCCTGTACTGTGTCTGCAGTCTCTGGTCATCTCCTGCACTGTGTCCGCAGTCTCTGGTCATCTCCTGTACTGTGTCCGCAGTCTCTGGTCATCTCCTGTACTGTGTCCGCAGTCTCTGGTCATCTCCTGTACTGTGTCTGCAGTCTCTGGTCATCTCCTGTACTGTCCGCAGTCTCTAGTCATCTCCTGTACTGTGTCTGCAGTCTCTGGTCATCTCCTGTACTGTCCACAGTCTCTAGTCATCTCCTGTACTGTGTCCGCAGTCTCTGGTCATCTCCTGTACTGTGTCTGCAGTCTCTGGTCATCTCCTGTACTATGTCCGCAGTCTCTGGTCATCTCCTGTACTGTGTCTGCAGTCTCTGGTCATCTCCTGTACTATGTCTGCAGTCTCTGGTCATCTCCTGTACTGTGTCCGCAGTCTCTAGTCATCTCCTGTACTGTGTCCGCAGTCTCTGGTCATCCCCTGTACTGTGTCCGCAGTCTCTGGTCATCTCCTGTACTGTGTCCGCAGTCTCTGGTCATCCCCTGTACTGTGTCTGCAGTCTCTGGTCATCTCCTGTACCGTGTCTGCAGTCTCTGGTCATCTCCTGTACTGTGTCTGCAGTCTCTGGTCATCTCCTGTACTGTCCTGCAGTCTCTGGTCATCTCCTGTACTGTGTCTGCAGTCTCTAGTCATCTCCTGTACTGTGTCCGCAGTCTCTGGTCATCCCCTGTACTGTGTCTGCAGTCCATTGGATCAGAATATTTTTTTTTGTTGTTTTCTGCCTATAAAACCTAGGTGCGTCTTATGGAGCGAAAAATACGGTAATTGATAAGAATGCAGCACAGGCACATAAAGTTATCAGGTCACACATTTTCTTGCAGGATCAAATATAACACTGTGTAAATTTGGCCCATTAAGGTGTTGGCAACCAATATGCAAAGCAAATCCCAACATATTTCATCCAAAGAAAGCTCAGGGGTCTGCAGTAGGGGTTATGTTCTATACGTTTGCATTTATTGACTTGCCAGAGTGTTATATTTGGTACCAATACACACATGTGTTGGAAATGCATTTCATATTTTTGTAAGAATTTTGGGAGTTATGCTTTATGACTGTAAGAGTTCAGCTTGCCAAATTGTCATACATTTAATGAGGGATGCAAGTCCTAGTTTTATGTGCTTATTCAGTAAAACTGTTGATTTTATGTACTGTTTTGAGAGATCAGCCACCTTTAACGCCCCATTCCTTTTTTTTTTGCCAGGTCTTACTTGGTAATGTCAGGGCATGGAGCCGAGGAACGGACAGGCAGGCCTAACAATGTAATGCACTGGCTGACGACAACCACCACCCACAGACCGAGGGTCCCTCAGGGCGCGGAGTCTAAGTCCCAGGTGCCCTTCACCTGGGCCCCTGATGGTGGGGATGGACTTGACGCAGCCAGGAACCAGGTCGCGGCCCCCGAGACACCTCAGCTGCGGTAATGGCCGCCGCCAATGGCGTGTAGCTGGTGGAAGAAACAAAAGAGTAGTCAGACAAGCCGGGGTCAACAACAACAGGACAAAACAGTACAGGACAGCAGACGAGAATCACAGGTCACGAGCCGGGTTCAGCAACAGAGGGTCAGATCAAAGGAGAAATACAAAGAATAGTCAAGTCACAAGCCGAATCAGATTCCAGGAGAGTCACGAGAGTCAGAACAGAGTAATTTGTAACACAAAGACACAAGACACAAGTGCAAAGAGCTGTGCGGGCCACAGGCTTATATGTCATCAGCCACGCCCCTCTGGGGGGTGGACCTCAGAGACCTGAAGGCATTCAGTAAAACTGGTTTCCCATCATGCACAGCAGAATCCAAGATGGACGCCAGCACATGGAGTAACATAACCTTAGGGAAAAGGTAGGACCTTGACAGGTATATACAGTATATACATTATATATACAGTATATACAGCATTAGAGATTGTGGTGGTATATATGCAGGTTATAGTACAAAACATGGTACCTGCCCCATTTTGTTGTTCTGTTGATATACTGGTGAGGGGGCACACTGGACACCTTGGCAACCATTGTGCTCTATGCTGGGTGTCCAGTGCACCTCTGTACCTTTTAAGGATGGGTGGGCTCCCTCCAGGCTCACCTTCCCTCAGTCTATCCATTATGATACATGTGCCTCTACTATGGAGGCTCTCAATATTTTTAGCGTTAGGACTGCAGATAATACCGGGTGCCATGAAGAGGCACTACAGCTTACGCATGTATTTGCAAATGTGTGCAAACTAAACCCCTGTTTTTAACACAAACTGTTAGACAGGGTATGGTAAGCTGAGCTGGGAATTTTTCTTTGTTGTTGTCCGATATACCCTGGTTATAGCCCTCAAGAAGTTATATGTTGTACAGGATGGCAGGGATGGGTCCTGTATAGGATGTATGTGTCTACTTTGTTTGGGTTGTAGTCCCTTTAAATGAGACGACAAATAGCAAATTGGAATACTCAGGGTTCCCACCCGTACTGGGTGAAACGGTTCTAGAATCAACCATCACAGAGGGGGAAATCTGACTTGCAGTGTTCCGGGATTTCCCCATGTGGGTCCCAGAATTCAGAGGCTCTAAGAACGTTTAGGTGGGAAGGTGCCTCCATGTCAGGGCAGGAGCTGAGGAACGGACAGGCAGGCCTAATAACAATGTAACGCACTGGCTGATGACAACCACCACCCACAGACCGAAGTCCCCCAGGGCGCGGAGTCTTTAAGTCCCAGGCTGCCCTTCACCAGGGCCCCTGATGGTGGGGATGGACTTGACGCAGCCAGGAACCAGGTCGCGGCCCCCGAGACACTTCAGCTGCAGTAATGGCTGCCGCCAATGGCGTGTAGCTGGTGGGAAAGACAATAGAGTAGTCAGGCAGGCCGGGTCGACAACAACAGGACAAAACGGTACAGGACAGCAGACGAGAATCATGGGTCACGGGCCGAGTTCAGCAACGGAGGATCAGATTAAAGGAGAACACAAAGAATGGTCAGGTCACAAGACGAGTCAGATTCCAGGAGAGTCCGAGAGTCAGAACAGAGTATAGCGACACAAGACACAAGTGCAAAGGGCATGTGCGGACCACAGGTTTATATGTAATCAGCCACACCCCTCTGGGGGATGGACCTCAGAGACCTGAAGGCATAAAAAGATTCCCACCATGCTCTGCAGAGATCCAACATGGATGCCAGCACATGGAGAAACATAACCTCTGGGAAAAGGTAGGACCTTGACACTCCAACCCTGACTACAGGTATCTTAGTATGCTAGTGAGACGTTGATGTGTACTGCTTGGGCAACTAAGATGCTGATGTGCTGTGGTGACCTTTTCTTTGGACCCCTGGAGCAGGGAGGAATTTAAACCATGTTATGGGACAAGGTTTACGCTGGCAGTGAGCCAAAGTTTTGCTTTACACCTAAGGTTAATTGATTATTTGATTGTTTGCTTTTACTTACATGGCTGGCTGGTGATCTGGACTCCCCCAAATATCACAGTGATCACATACACTTGAAATAAGTATAAATACCGGAGCCAAATCATATCACATTGTTACCATTGCTTTTCAAAATGGTGAAGGGATTATGTTAGTGGATGCTGCAGATATGAATCATTAGAGATGTCCTTGATGTAAGTTCAACTTGAATATCGTCCATTTGTGTGTTCGGTGAACAGGTGAACAGTGGGGTGCCCGTCGATGCTGAGCACCCCACAATGCACTGCGCTCTGACAGCGCATTGTGATTGGCCAAAGCAATGCACCTGGCCACAGGTCAAGTGCAATGCTTTGGCCAATCACAGCACAATTGAATGGATTTGGCGGTGACGTCACTGCTAGCTCTGCCCAATTGTTTACATCTGCCCGGCAAATGTCAAATGCAGCAAGTGCTCGGCGGGTGTGGACGGGTTGGCAAAAAAACATTTTTTTGGCTTTTTTTTTAATAACGGACTTGTCAAAAACTGTTGTTTTGTTTTTATTAACATATTACACTTTTTTGGTGAATGGGTAGGGGTACTATGTACCCCATACTCACTCACATAGGAGGGGGCCAGGATATTGAGGCCCACTTGTTAAAGGGGGTTCCAGTTTCCAATAAGTCCCCCCCCCCCCACAGACTCCCAAAACCAAAACCCAGGGTTGTGGGGGGGAAGAGCCCTTGTCCTCATCAACTTGGGGACAAGGTGCTTTGGGAGGGTGGAGAGCCCCCCCAACCCCAAAGCTCCCCCCCCCATGTTGAGGGCATGTTGCCTGGTATGGCTCAGGAGAGGGGAGCTCACTTGCCCCCCTTTCCTGGTCTGCCAGGCCTGTGCTTGGTTCAAGGGTCTAGTAGGCATTTTAGGGGGGACCCCACGCTTTTCCCTCCACATTTTTTGAGGGTGAGGTTCCCTTAAAAGTCCTACCAAGCCTAAAGGGCCTGGTATGGCTTTTAGGGGGAACCCCGCGCATTTGTTTTTTTAATTTTTTAATATGAGGTCCCTCCTAACCTTCCTATCTGACCTAAAGGGTCTGGTATTGCAAGGAGATATATCTTTAAACTGGCATCCACTTTGTATAATGCCTCCATTTCTAGATGTGTAAACAGTTTCAGTTTTGAGTTTTGCTTGTAACTTCTCTCTCGTTTCCTGTGAATAGTTTCTATTTCTCTGTAAATGGATTCACCTGATATGGTATCCCTCAGCCATTTGTAGTTTCTGTTCTTCATGTAACTATACTGATAAGAGTGGAATGTTTCATTGGTCATCCTGAATGCAGCAACACCTATTAAGTTCTGTATAACAGTTCTTGTCTTGCATTAAACTTTCAGATATACAGCTTTTACACTTCGGTGTCTGGAGCTTCATTTCTCCTGGATCCAGAGGTTAAGATAATCAAGGAAAAGTTTGGGCTACAGACAGAAATTGATCTTATCAGGTATGGATTAGGAGGGGGGATGGGGGGGGGGGGTTACCCCATGCTGTTTTTTTTAAATGTAATTTAAGAAAAAAGTGTCAGTCCTGTTGCAGCAGGTTCTATACATTGTACAGATGTGCAACTTTGCAGGTAGTTTAAGGGTCCCCCCCCAAGGGAACCCCCCCCCCCCCAGGTATGATGA